TCCGATGGTTGTATTTCACGTGCTAACCATATAAAAAAATTTAGATTAAATTAATTAAAATATACTTCGAAATTCAATATTTAAAAATTTTTTAAAATACTTTTTACGATTATTTTTAAATCAAAATGGATAAGATTTTGTCTAAGAAAATATTTAAATAAAAATACTTTTAAACTTTTTTAAAACTTTATTAACATTTAATTAATTCATAATATACTTTAATTAATTTGAATAAAAATGAAGAAATATTTTTACATTAAACATTAACTAATAATAAAATTATATATAAAAGATTAATTATAAGTGTATTAGTTAAAATTTAATGTGTAAATAATATATTGATCTTTAATAATTAATATTAATTTATTAGATTAATGTCAATGATCGCAAATAATAAAAGAAAATAATTGGACTCCCATTTGTTGGGATTGCTTTAGGTCATAGTCTTTAATGGGCTGTGGGCCTCATGAATTTGCTATCGAACTTTAGGGCACTCTCAATTGGATCATCAACAAAGCTATTGAGAGCCCAACATCAATTAACACCCGCTCATCGTCAGCTCGATTCACGGGGTTACCACTGACATAGATAATTTATTTTAAAAATAAGTCGTAAAACCAAAAACATTTCATATATAACAAGTAAAACATGTGAATCAAGTATTTTTTACTGTATACAAATAACCAGGGTAAGTTTTCAACAGCGAAAACACATGTACATAAAACCGACTCAGAAATGGATTTTCTATAGTATCTAGTCTGCTGGTCTCGTCCTCGGTTAGCCTATTGCTTCTATATCTAGAAAGAAAAGTTAAATTAACCTTGATGAGTAATTAATTTACTCAGTAAATAGCTAACTTAGCATTCACAATATGAAGTCTTTTATAATCTTAGCTTTACCGTATATTTCACGTTTCTCAAAATCATTTTTTAAGCTCACAACTGAAGATCAATCCCACATATTTATTATTTATATGATACAAACGGTAACGATCCAATTTTTATATAAAAAATAAGGTCATCACATGTAATGACATGATTGTAAAGTGTGGAAATCTTCATTTAAATAGTTTATAAATGATGTCATAGACTTAGACGTTCGAAATAAAATCCTTAAAATAAAATAACGGAAAATAAATAATGTAAAATTTAAATAATATAAAGAAAAATAAGACAATGCATTGATCTAACCTAAGAGCTATGAAATAAACATAAATGCAATCTCCCTAAAACTGGTTCCATGGTCTTCGTCATGACACCATTGTCATCCATATAAGGGTGCTCTACTTTTACCTAAAATGTAAGAGTAGCACATCGTTTGAATATTTTAAGAAATACTCTGTAAGTAACTGCACTAGTGGGGTTGGGAATGCAAACACATGCAATATGATGAGACTAATCTTTTTAACATAGCATAGCATGACTTTAGACAGTTTTTTAGTCCTGCAAAGTTGGATGTGTGATACTTCTCAACACATGACCCACGCGTGTGAGCATGGACCCACCAGGGAGGCTCGCACACCCCTTGGCCTTGGCTTATTAGGCTAACACTCGCTAAGGGGCTCTATGCCAAACCCCACGAAAGGAAATGACTCACAAAGGAAATGAGTCACATAACATCATGGTGAACATAATGACTTAATGTATGATACAAGACAAACCTCTATCATAATAAGTTTGTAAATTATGCTTACATAATTCTTGTATATTGCGTAGTACATAGTATAGTCTAAGGAGCTTTATGCATCAAAATTAATAATTCTATAACAACTTTATACAACATGGTACGATCACAAAATAACATAGCTCTATAATCTAACATAATATAGCATATCATGGCTTAACTTCACATAACAGCATTGTCATATCAAAGCATACCATGACATAACTTAGCATAACATAACTTGTCATAACATAACCTACCAATCATACATACGACACGTGTTGGGTCATAAGACACGCATCATCATACATAATGCACGACAAGGTGAGTTTTTGGTCCCTAGCCCTTCTTTGCTATATGGTTGTCAAGTTTGATGATGAAAGTGAGGGACAAAATGCTCTATATTGAGCTGTAGAAGGCGACATTAAGAGAAACCTCACAACGGGCCACACACTTCTTCCCTTGTTTTGGGGAAGAAGATGATGGTAATTGGCCACATCAGCCCAGAACTATGATGCTCCTTAGTTTTTCTCAAACTAAACTCAAACCAAACCAGACTCTTATAAAATTTTTTATGGTTCCTAATGGATCTATCGAAGAAAACTTAGAGCAATTCAGATATCAAAAGTTTGATAACTAAGGATCTAAACGTGAAAAATGAGGTAAATAGAATTTTTAGAAGTTTTTGAAGAAATACTTGTACAAATGGCATGGAATTCAATTTGAACCTTAATTTAAGTTAGTTTAAAGGAATATGGAAGAATAAGCAAATAATCCTGAGTTAAGGACCAAATCGAGTGTTTTGCTCGAGAATCAAGTAACGTTAAAATAACTCACTAAACGAACTCTCATCCATGAAATTTTAGTGCTAGGTATGATATGATATATTGAAGTTATACATGAAATTCGGTATTCATTGGATAAGGATAAGCCGCTAAACCAAGTAATGATGCAAAATAACCATATTGCCCTTACTATAAACTACCTTCATTTCATGACCCCCAAATGTGATGAAACTTTATAAGAGACCTTATTTTTATGATTTTTAAAGATCATGTAAAGTTTCAAAGTCATTGGAGCACGTTTAGGGACTAAACCAAGAATTAGGGATAAAATGACCAAAATGCCCTTGGGGATCTTTATGATATTTCAAGGATAACGCCCTCCATATGACTCAAGAATTTAAGAAGACTTATTTATAAGAACATAAAGATTTACTCAAAGATTTCAACTAGTTTGGGAGAGATTAAGATTAAGAACTAACCCAGGGATATGAGATTACGACCAAAATGCTCTTATAAGGGACCTTAAAAGTTTTCAAGACCATAAGGATTTCTCAAGGTTATAAGAGACCGAAGTATGACCTCAAGAAGGATTATACACATTAGGGGTATAAGCCGAGGCTTATAGGAAAGGACAAATTTACCCTCAATAACCCTAACTAAGATTCAAGATCCTTCTAAAATTTTCAAGAAACACATTATGACTTTATAATATTTTGACGGACTTATGCATGGTCACAACCTATGAGCTTGGAATAGGACTTAAGAAATTAAGTAAAGACTTGTGCATTAAGAGTATCTCTTGAAGCAAGAACCTAAGAACCCAAGAAAAAGCTCCAAAAACAAGAAATGAAGAGAAGTGCAATACAAACCCTAATTCTATTAAAACATGAAGAATGTTGGGTGACACTCAAGAATAAAGGACCAAGGTCCCAAGACTTAGAAATCTAAGAAATTCCTAAATCTTCCACGGTACAACATGATCATCATTTAGACTATATCGCTTTGAACATAAGAACACTTGGATGTAGGTTTTTCAGGCTGTATCCCTTGGAACGTAAGAAGTCATGACTCCTTATCAAGATTCAAGACCCTTCTAAAATTTTCAAGGCACACGTTATAATATTTTGATGGATTTATACATGTTAATATGAAATTCTCACAACTTATGAACTTGGAATAGGACTTAAGAAAGTAAGTTAAGACTTATACCTCAACCATAACACTTGGGGCTGGAGCAAGAACCTAAGAAACCAAGAAAATTCTATAAGAATAAGAAATAAAGAGTACAACACAAATCCTAATTCCATTTAACACAAGAAGAATGTTAGGTGTCACTCAAGAATAAAGGACCAAGGTTCTAAGACTCAGAAACCCAAGAAACCCTAGACCTCCCACGGTTCAACATGTTTATGACTTAAACTACATTGCTTGGAATATAAGAAGCTTTGAATGTAGGTTTTTCAGACTCCATCATTTGAAATATAAGAAGCCTCAGATGCAGGTTTCAAACTACACCACTTGGAACTTAAGAAGCCTTGGGTATAGATGTTCAGGCTATGCTAATTAGAACGTATGAAGCCTTGGGCATAAGTGTTCAAACTATGCTAATTGAAATGTATGAAGCCTTGGGTATATGTTTTCATATTGTGTCGCTTGGAACTTAAGAAGCATTGGGTGTAGGTTTCACACTCTATCGTAAGGAACACATGAAGTGTTGAGGATTGTTGGGAGTGTGTCCCGCATTGGCTAATTTAGGGAATGATCATGAGTTTATAAGTAAAGAAATACATCTCCATTAGTAGGAGGCCTTTTGGAGAAGCCCAAAGTAGAACCATGAAAAAATTAGAAGATTTGTGATTCCTAACATAAAGTCTGGATGCAAGGTTAGATAACATATTTTAATTGCTCGGGGGTCCAATATATTTAAACTTTAATTTATCGTAATTTACTTTATTTTCGAGTTTTTAAAATAGTCGCGACTCTTTTCTGAAGAATCCAGTTATGACAAATTTCCTCTTGCTCATGACGCGTATTCTTTCCGAAATCGAAATTCTCTAATAGAAGATACTTAGAAGAACCCAAAAAAAAAATATTATATTTTACCCTAAACATTAAAAATGTTACAACAAGAATCAAACTCCAATACAACATAAAAATCCACGAAAAGTTACCATAAAAAACAACAATAAGAAAAAGACAAGGATCGTAATCTTCTGCAACTTCCCCGCCGGCTTGCTCATCACCTCAAAAACAACCAACAACATGGAGTATGAAAACCCAAAAATTACTCAAACAAAAAACACCGCACGTGTGACTCTGGTACCCTTCGTACAAAAAAACTTAGAATCCTCCGCAGCTCAAATCTCGAGTCCCACAAGGTCAAATAACCCATTAATATCCCCTTCTCCCTCCCCTTTCACCACTGTCGGCGACCCATAATTTAATCTATAAAAGAAAAAAAAAAAAAAAAAAGATCATCCTTTTGTGCAATATTCAATTCATTACAAGCTTAGCTGTTTCCTTTGTACTTTGTCGCTCTAAACAACAGGCACCCATATCTTATTTCTTGATCTTCGTCCTTTTCCCTCACCTTCCACTCACCTTCCAAAATCCCCATATAAAATCCCCATTTCTTCCTTCCAACCAATACCCATTAACCCCAATGGCCCTTCCAATTTCCCCACGAAGCCTTCGCTCCGATGTGTACTCCTACTCCTACGAGGAGCGCTCGGGTACCCCTTTGGTCATCGGCGTTGTTGCGTCCTTGATCGAGAGGAGCATGGCCAGGAACCATCGGATTGCCAAGAATTGCATGTCCATGCCTAGAGATTCCAGGTCCAGGGCCCTTGTTTTTGAGTGCCGTGAGGCTCCCGACATGTCCATTCAGTGTTATTTGGAGAGGATTTTTCGGTATACTAAAGTTGGTCCTTCTGTTTACGTTGTTGCTTATGTTTATATTGATCGGTTTTGCCAACAAAATCCTGGGTTTCGGATCAATCTTAGGAATGTTCATCGCCTTCTTATCACTACTGTCATGGTCGCTTCTAAATATGTCGAGGATATGTAAGTTTTGTTTTTCTCTCTCTCTTTTTAAAGCCTTGGATTGATTTTGGGTTGTAGAAGTAAAAGGTTTTTGTGTTAGCAAGTCTCGAAAAGTTACTTCTTTGATGATTAAGGTATCGGTGACGATCTCGAGTTTCCAAATACATTGTCATTCCATTCGGGTCGAGACCCACGAGAGCTTTTACCTATATTTTACCATTTCTCTCATTCCTTCAACGAGTGAGTCCTCGAATAAACCTGTTCAACTTTCCAACTGAGTCTCAAGTTTCGAAACACATTGTCAATCCATTCAAGTTGAGACCCACCAAAGCTTTTACCTATATTTGACCATTTCTCCCTTTTCTTTAACCAACGAGTCCTCGAATAAACTTGTTCCACGTTCTAATATTGAGTTGACCGAACAAAGGATCCCACCGACCTGATAAATCACTTCATATCGACAGGGGAGAAATTCCCGGGCTTCCCTTTGATTAAGTTGATAATGTTTATTACCTTTTGTTGATAGGTGTTCTTCTAGCTCAATCTCGATTTAACGTTACTTTTGAAAACAGGAACTATCGAAATTCGTACTATGCAAGAGTCGGGGGATTGACAACAAAGGAGATGAATCAACTGGAGCTGGATTTTTTGTTCATGATGGGATTCAAATGCCATGTAAATCTAAGTGTGTTTGAGAGTTATTGTTGCCATTTGGAGAGAGAAGTAAGCATTGGAGGAGGATACCATATAGAGAGGACATTAAGATGTGCTGAAGAGTTGAAGTCTAAACAAAGCCAACAAGCCTCATTTAATCAAATGGCTCGTATTACATTGTAAAGATCAAAGATGCTGCCTTTTTTGTATAGTTTATATGATAATATATATTAAAATGTGTTTGGTTCTTTTGAATCATTGTTTCATTTGCCGACACTTGCTTAATATATACTCATGTAATATAAAGGACCTTATTGAATTATTATTCAATTGTATTTAATAATTTATCACTTAGTGAAGCTAAAGGGGAAGGTAGCTAAAAAAGTTATTGGGACTTGAATGAATCATGAGGTACATTGGTCATCACTTGTCCAAACTAGGCCCTACATGAGTCACATGCCTTAAATTCATGCCTAACATGAATAGTTTAGTGGGTCATGTGCCTAACCCCAATGAATTTTAAGCACTATTTCCTTTTTATGTCTATTTAATGGATTCGTTTCTAAAGATTGATGGCGTTGTCGGGATACCTTTTACTAGTCTTTGCAATAGGTTTCGAATAATACATATACCTAGGTATTTGAGATGTGACTTCATCATGGTTCTTACTCGTAGCTCAGCATATTATAGACATGCCAATTGAGACAGTTTGTCTACTAGAGATTAGTTGATGATTCCCTAGTAGTGTAATGGCTCAAGTTTTTCAATGAGTCGTGACTCAAAACGATAATGTGGATGTAGTGTGAATGCGAGAAATATTTGAAAAGATATCAATTGGAAAATCATTTATTTCAAAAGAAGAGACCAGTTTTGACATTGAAGATATATGAATGTTTGTGAAAGTAAAATGACGCCCCCGGACATGTTTTCCTCTGTGACAATCCACGTCTCTCAAATAAGCACTCTCTTGACCTGTGGCATCACAGACCTGAAAAGAAAAAATATAGTCAAGATGAATATAAAAGTTATACTTAGTAAGCCACCTACTTGTAGACTCTCATCGCGTTCTAGTCTTAACAGAATCCCATGGGCTTCTCATTGGCTCTAAGACGTCTAGTTCTAGTCTTATCTTTTTGGGGCTATTTTGGTTCTTCATCCCTTCATTTTAAACCCTGAGAGTTCCTTTTGTCGAGCTGTGAATGACTGGTGGCCCTCTGTGAGACCCTACCTCATGCATGACTCTATGAGACTTTATGGTATCTTACCTAAGGAGTGAGCTGAAACCTCCTAAGTCCATAAAGTCACCCTCCTTGGGAGCACGACCCCTCCCTTATCCAATCCAGCTAATGGGCTATATGACATGGGTCTCTCTTTCCCAATGCAAACGACTAGGTTAAGTTGGCTTTGATTAGAAACTCCTGTTTTCCCATGAAACTGTTGGCACCGTTCAAACATCTTGCAGCCTATGGACAACTCTTAAGGTGGTTGTGTTGGTATATTAGACTCCTACGAAAAATGTTAGGTCTAAATTTAGCAATGGGCTACCCCCAACCATAATTCTCTAGTCTTAACATAAAATCGGGCTCAATAACAATAACTAGATATGCACATAACAATTATCTAGATTCCTCATACATAATTCATACAAAATAAACACACATGCTCAACGTGGTGATAACATCCATCAATCACCCGGAGTGCAGATCACAAATTTCCATCCTCCTTTTAGCATCAGTTAACAGATATATAATGGAAACGTAAAACATAATAGCATTCTTCACTACATGCTTCCATATTCTTAATGTAGCAATCATCTACGTTCATTTCATGGGAAAACTATCTACTTAGGGTAAATATTCTAGCATGCATGCAAACCAAGCGAATCCTACAAGTATTTTTGCCTAAAATTCCGTGTGGTGACTTACATGATAGGTGTGCCCTTCGTTTAGCGTTTTCACACGAATTAGGTGTTCACAAAGAGTGATTTTCTTCAATTTGGTTCTAATTCACATAAAAATATGGTTAGAATTGGAATCAGGATGAAAATCGAGCAAACAGAAGTCGAACGGGCAAACAAGTACCTTACATGCGCTAGCCACGTGCTAGGAGTGTCCATTCATAAGTTTCACGCGCGTACCACGCGTGGGCCAATTTTCTGCAGTTGCAGGTCAGGCGTTCCAGTTTGAGTCAGTTCGAATTGCGGATTAGCTGGTTCGGTTTGCTCGGACTAGACCGTGGTCAGTTGAGCCGATGGGTTGTGGGTTGGATCGGGTTGGACCATGGGTCGCAGGTCAAAATGCGGGTTGTAGAAGTCGTGTGTCACAAATCCAATTGAGCCATGTTACTCCACTCAGTGTCTAACACGTGTCCCTAGCTTGGTTGAGACGTGCTCTTCCTCTCGTTGTCAACACATGGCTTGCTGGAAAATTCTTCTCTTCTCCTAGCAGCTCGTAGAGTTGGATTAGGTTTTCTTGATTCTTTTTTTTTTTTTTTT